TGAACGATTTTGACAATGACACTTGGTTCATGAATTTGAACTTGAAATTGATGAAAGCGACTGTGATTGTTAAGCAACAAATTTTCAAAATGAATGATAAAAAAACTACTAAAGTCTGTTTTTTTTTAATGGAATTGTCAAACAGTCTTAACGTTGACACCACTACACCCTTTTCAAGTGTAATTCAGAAACCATCACATGTAATTCAGATTAGTCAATTGTCTTTCAGAAAATGTTAATTGTAATTCAGAAGAGTAAAATGAGTTTCAGAAACCATGAGATGTAATTCAGATTAGTTAATTTAATTTCAGAAAGCATAAATTGGAATTCAGATTAGTCAATTGTATTTCATAAAGTAATAATTGTAATTCAGAAACCATTACATGTAATTCAGAACAGTAAATAAATTCAATTCCATGTTACATGTAATCCAGAAATAATCAGTTGTAATTCAGATGAGTAACTTACTGTTATCTCAAAATCAAGTTACACGTAAACACGAATTATTTTATTTTCAGAATTAAAGAATTACATAAACTTGGTATTTTACAAAATAAATAAGATATTCTATTTTCAAAAAGATTTTGATAATGTAATTTTTAAATGAAAATAACGAATTCTGAATTACAATTGACGTATTCTCAATTACAAATGACAAACTCTAAATTACAACTAACACTTTCTGAATTACAATTGACTAATCTGAATTTTAATTTACGCTTTCTGAAGTTAAATTAACTAATCTGAATTACATCTGATGGTTTCTGAAATTTAGTTTACGGTTTTGAATTACAATTAACACTCTCTGAAATACAATTGACTAATCTAAAATACAATTAACGTTTTCTGAARTATATTTTACGCTTTCTAAATTACACTTGAAAAAGGTGTAGTCAATTCATTTATGGTAATTTTRATAAAGAAAGTTGGCAATTCCGATTTTAGGAATTAATTTGAAAACGATGTCAACACAAAAATCGTTTAAGAAAATTTAGAGATGAAACACCAAAAAAAGAACAAATTCGGTACCGCCAACAGTTTCTAGAAATTTGGAAACGAATAGTTCGCAAGCAGCAAATTAGAAAAAGGGCCCGTTAAAATGTAGAATTCAGGTTTGCTAAACATTCTCAATTTTTAGCAAAAAATTGACAAGAATACAAAATAAACATGAATCAGAAAGAACCTCGGAAAGAACGCAATTAAATTAGTGTCTTATGTATCGTTTTTGATGAACSAGTAAACAAGTAACAATTTTGAATCTAAAGCTGAAGAAGAATTTATAAAATGCATAGTTAATTTCAATAAATAAYACAAAATTTATTGCCAATCATCATAATACCTACTTGTATCTTTTGCTAAATAACTTTTTTCTGTATAYGCATTCTTTTTCTTCAAAGTTTTTGTAGCAAGAACCCAATTTTTGTCCACAACATTGTACTTACTTGGSGTGTGYTTYTRTCAAAATTRTTAGCACTGAATTCTGTCTTTAGACCTTAGGTAATGATGTCTRTATTCAATTATAGCGCTYTCAAASAGCAAACAGGCACWCAMAATTCATAAAAGTCAAAATTTTGACAACTTYTCAATTTGAAAACATAACCATAATTTTTTAACAAAATTTCTAGGGACAAAACAAAGAGCAAACAACATTTGTGGCTCTGGATACAAGCTGCTACCAATTTTTTCACTAAAGTTTTGACTTGGTAATTTCCATTTTAAAGAAAAAACAGACTTTACTAATCCTGTCTGTAATAATTCATTATTAAGTTTATTAGCTAGCGATGGAGGATTCCAGTGGTGTATACATGTTAATATATCCGATTTGATGTTTGCTTTGAAAATTTCAGAACATGTACGGAACGAATTATGCCAGGTTTCATGCGGTAGGTATTTGATGAATTAGCCAACGCATGTGAAACCTCCATGAATATATTGGTCCAGGAAGAGAACGCAGCTTGTCACCGCTTTAATGAACATTCTAAAATATGGATCATCGAGTGTACAAGCTATAAATGCTAATTGCAATATATTCACGTAATGTATGCAAAGAGTCGCCAACATGGATTAACTGTTCACTATAAAGAATGGATTTTTTCAAATCAAATTAAACCGTTTTTCTGATATAAATTTTGTTATGCCCAAAATAGATCAAATTATTACAAGTTTGCGTTTTTGCTTTACATTCATTTTTTTATTTGTTATTAAATAACAAATAAAATTATACTTTATTCTTTCGTTTTTAACTAATAAATCTGCTATTTTGTTTTCTCGGTAAAAAAATGCCGATGTTTTCTCTTGAAATAAACTGGAATTGAATGAATAGCATCTTTTAAGTGTTTTCTGAAATAAACAAACATTCTGACATTGATTCTTATTCTTAAAATTGAAATTGAATGTAGTGAATATTTTGAAAAATTATATTTCTTCAATTTTTTTGGTTGCTTTTTACGTGGTTGTACAGGTTTCTAATTTAGGTCAGTAATTTTTATATTGAACTAATTAAAAAAAAATGTTTTCAGAATTTATTCAGTAATATTGTACGCGAATTATAAATTACACCAAATGACGAATTCGAAATAAAGTTTATTACCTTACTTAAATAGTCGCTATTTTATTTGCTAATTCACTCAGAGATTGTTCATCAGAATCAACGCTACCACAGTTATAACTATCGAAAATATCGTTTTTCGATGCTATTAAAAAAGCACTTGGAAGTTTTTGATGGTTCTAACAATTAACGGTAAAGCGCACTTAATTAAAAAGCATTAACTCTAACTTTGATAATTTTAATATAAATGACGTATGATGGATTTCACGTATTGGCATGAGAGGATATAGACTTTAATAATAAATTATTTTAAAAATTAATAAAAATGTTACTGGGAACATTTTGGTTTTTAGGTCGCGATTTGTTGTTTTGTAAGATATTTATAATTTTTGCTCAAATTTTTTATGTGGGCTCCATCTAAGCTCATTTATGGTATTTTTTATACTTGTTCCATAAGGTTAAAAAAAATTACGGGAATTAGATTTTGTATGTTGATAACGAAAAAAAAGTGAGAATAGTAAAAAAAATACGTACCCACCTAACAAAAATCATCGATTTCGATACCTTTTGTATTTTTGTATGTAGCTTTTAATCCTGATGTTTTACTAATCGCTTTAGCGTTTTTGAATTATTTCGATTTCTTTGACAAAAATGCATTTAAAAAACAATCACACAAAAACTAAAAAAATCAACATTTTTACTTTCACTACTTTTACTGAATTTGAAGAATTTAAAAAAAACACCGTGAAATGCGAGAATAAAATTTTCTCGTTAGATTTTATTTCATAAAAAAAAGAAAATATGTTATCAATAATTATTGTTGAGGCTAGTTTTGACTTTCTTATTATATTACTTATGATAGTGCAAATATAAACAAAAGACAGTAATTAAAAGAAATTATACTTAAAGGAAGTGATAATGGAAAATTTAGATTAGTTTTTTACAAAATTAATCAATATTATGACATGCCAAATTTGCATTATACGCTCGATGTTCCAAAAAGAAAACGAAAAAATCCAACTCAAGGAATACCTAAAAAACAGGATATGTTGTTAAATGGGCTTGGCGGTAGCATGAGAAATTCGGGTAATACTTTGTGTATAAGTAGACTCAACATGTCATTATTTTAGTTTTTGTTATTATCAACAATATGACTTTGAAAGAAAATATCTTTTGTATATTTTAATAATTTTTCTCTGATCACCTGTGGCAAGTGCGGCACTTTGATCTGGCACTGGATTGGATAAAAATTTCATGAAAAGAGATAAATCTAYTCCGGGGATAAACACTGATGTACCATTGTTTTTACAGTTGTACATGCAATGTACTTTTTGTATCGATTGTAAAAGCCGCCTTTTTAACGTTTTAGTCTAWAAAAATAGACATGTTTATTGTGACATTATTTCCACAAACTATTCTTATGTTTGTTAAATAATGCACACTCGTTGGCAATTGGCAAAGTTTGGTGTTAGTTTATTTTGACTTGAAAATGCATAGTCAGTTTTCACATTAAAACTTTTAGTGAACAAGGTATCACTTTACATACTAAATAATCAGTAAAGTGAAAACTTCTATCGATTACTTATTTGCAGTTGCGAGTGCACTTTAATTAAAGTACAAAATCCATATAAACTGCATTTCCTCTTAATAAATGTATTTACCTAATTATTTTAGTTCTAACAAGAATATTTTTTAAGATCAGTTAAATAGAATGCTCAAAAATAATTTACATCTTGTWTAAATGATACATTTTTCAGGCTAGTTTTCATAATAAAATAATTATTAAAAATAAAGCAAAAATGGYATAGGTATTTCTAGTGTTAATATCCTATCTTGCAAGTTTTCGAAARCAGTTTTGCATACTTATTACATTACAACGATAATTTGAACAAGTATCAAATATTCCCTCATATTGCCATACTTTGAACACTTCATGAGTAATTATTATCAAAGTCCAAGTATCATATCTCAAATATTAAAATCTACAACGATCCTAATTGGGTCAGAAAGGAAACACTTTAGTGATACAATCACCAACTTTTCTAGATTCCCAAGRTGACRTAAGATCCTTAATTGAGACCGAACGCAAGCCTTAGAAAATGAAACGTAAATGCTTGCTCATCCCTAATGAAAATTATTAATCCCAAGACCCGCATTCAWATTTTTTCCTCAAAAAACAACTTTTGCCCAATTTTTCAACTTATCGCATCTCAAACAAACCCCCAATAAATTTTTTTCGAACGTTTTCGATTACCCCCTAGTACAAGAGAAAGATTGTAATTTAAGTTTTCTTATTTCTAATACGTAAAGTTGCGACAAGATAATTTATTCTGTTACATTAGGTTACTCACCARCATTTATATGACAATCATATTATTGATATTCAACGTGCGCATGCGCCACCAAGAGGGTCGTCGCGACGCACATCCCTTTTATACGCCAGTTTACGTCGAGACGCTGTACTGTAGTGACTCGTAATATGATCTCATAATTTGCACATTGTGTGTGTTTTCTCTCAATTGCGACAACGTAAGTAGTTTAACTGTGGATTATTATTAGACCACACTGTAGATAAGGGCGTTTAATGCACTCCATATGAAACTTTTTAAGTTTATCTGAGCAAACTAGAGAACATGTGACAAAAATTTTGAATTTTTTTTACTATAAACTGTATGAGAGGAAAATGTTTGTTTGCTTTTAAGTAATTAAAATGTATTTTTGTGGCGTATTGAGGTATGAGTGTTAAAATTCTTAAGTTGTTTAAAGCAGTTTCGGTTTGTTGTTTGTTGATTTGCCCGGCGCATCCGCCAGAATTTCGAAAGTTTAATTACCACTTTAAAGAAGAGCGACGTGGCAAGATTAGGCTTTTAAGGCACGTTGTTGTACTTTAAACTGTGTTTGATGTTATCTGGATTTATTTGGGAGGTTTAGCCCCCGGCTGGAAAGTGTAGCTTTTGTGAGTTTGGAACAACTATGACGTTTGAAAGAATTAGCAAGGCACGCCCATAAATTAGTAAAGTCTTGCTAAGGAAGAGATGGTATCATTAGTCCAAACAAACTCTTTATTTTTGGGGCGGTTTAGAGTGTCGACACGCAAGCCGCCACGTGTATWGCAATGAAATAGACAACATGACGGGGGCGGCGGCCTCTTTAAATGTGCAATCGATTCGAAATTTTTCGTGAATTATGTGTCAATCAGGCAGTTTTTATTTTTCACGCAAGAGTTGTTTCAGAAWAAAATGAGACGCATTTATAGACTAGGAAACGTGTGMGATACATTTCACAGCTCAACTGGAAATTGATTTCGTATTCAGGAAAATACTCARCGAGCATTTGTATAGCTGTCGATGTTTGTAGTTTACTTATTTAAATTTATCTGCTTCATCTCTCTTCGTATTGTCTTSATGGAACTTGTTTCCGGTTYGCTCTCGTGTTATTAAAATACTTATACCAAGTGCACGGTTGGAATCTTCCGACGAATGTTTATTTTTGATGCAAAATGTTGAGCTTTTATAATAAGCTATTCTGTTACTTTCAGACTAATTTGTGTAATTCCTTTCGTGGAATGAACACGATTGCCGTCAAAGAAGCGGTGTTGTTAGACGGAATAGAGGATCTCAATTATCATCTTAAGCTTATTCATATGGACGTCGCTTATATGAATGATATTAAAAGGTTGGAATGATGGAACCATTAAATATTCTCAGTTGATAACGTTAAAAATTAAACAAGATAAATAGATMYTGGATTGTAATTTAAGCTTGTAACGAGCTTGCAAGGCGCTGTCACTAATAACAACAAAGCTGAATGAAAATTTATATCTTACGTACTTCTATTTGAAATCCCGCTATGGGTTAGAAAGTCAAATTAGTTTTTCAGTTTAGGGATTTTAATTAAATAATTTTCATGCATTTGTTACAATACAAACTGTAGAAGGATTTAATAATTGTGTTCAAAAGATTTCGTAGTGCAAGATTTTTTTATAATTACATTCTTTGATGAAACAAATCTGAAGCAGAAAATTAAAACAATTTTACTATTCACCACACAATACGTGTTTCGCCAACTAAGTTAGCATTAAATATTTTCTATTTTAAAATAAAAATGATCAAAAACTTATAATGCAATTTAAATTTAATTTGTTGAATGCATTTTACTAGAAAAATATCTAGTATTTAAATGTGGGAAAATAAAATGCATTACAAATAACTATGGTTAAACATAAGTTTTTTTTGTAGTAGATTAGATGAGAATGAAGCCTTGTTAAAAAGGTGTTAAGTTTTATTTTTGCGTTTACTTTTAACGGCTTTCAATTTTTGACGGTTTTTAACTTTAATTATCAAGTTTAAAATAATGTTAAAAAACTAATAAATTTAATAAATGGGAATTTATAGGAATTTAAATATACAAGTCGTACTACTTTTAGCTGTAGTATTTTAATATCTTGTAATAAAAACGGAATGAGACTATATGTTTTAATAACCTTCTAATATTAGCTTAGTGAATAAGAGTACTTTATCCCCAAGAGAGGTAATTGTCATTTACCTGCATTTACATTTATGAGCCGACGAATGATTATACGCACTGAAGGTTTTAATACCGGGTGATCAAAAGAAACTGTTTAAGTTGGTATTTTTRAATTTTATTTTTAAATGGCACGACTTTAACTTAGACGACTTAATAGAAAATAGACGAAAATAACGTAGACGACTTAAATAGAAACATATCAATTTTATTTCGACWAATATTTTTTAAAAGTAAATACATTTGCAGGGTTGCACACAGCTGAAAATAAAAGTGCTGTTATAATTTTAATGCCAACTCAGTCATTGCAGATTACTGTGCTACTAAAATATTGAAGATAATTTACAAAAGCTTATACCTTTTATAATTTTTTAGTGGCGTAACTTTTGTTGTGTCAAATACGTTTAAAACTCTTATTAAAGTAATAGCTTTAAACTTTAAAGTAATAGCTCGAACTTTAAACGTAACTGTATGTAAGTGAAATTAAATCGATAAAAATTAAAGTAAGAACCGCACTAAGAAAAAAATAATATATTTTTGAAATTAGGTTTTATAAAAACTATATGAAAGATAAACAAAAAATGTATTTTTAAAAATGTTTTCTAAAAAATATTTCACTACTTTACCTCTTGTAGAGTACATATAAATACATAAAGTACTTTGAATGAAATAGTATATTAGTTATATTACAACCAAGCGAGAAAATTTTAATGGTTTTTTGGTGTGCTAATTTATTTACTTTAAATAATAAAAAACTTTTTTTTCTAACAAAGTAGATGCATTGACATAGTTGCTATGTAAACAAATTGACTAAGAGATTAAATGATGTTTTTTGCAACTTTTTTACTAGGTATAGTTACAAAAAAATTGGAAGTAAAAGTTTAAAGTCAAAGAAATTAAAAAAATCTATGTATATTATACAGAATCTTCCAAAAACATTAGACTAACTTAACCCTATCAAAAATCTAAAATATTAGGTAATTTTTTGTTGTTAGATAAATATTTTACTCAACATTTCGAATTATTTGTTTTTCAATATAAACTATACTGGGTGAATATAAAGTATGGAACCAAGCGGTTTTTTTAATTACTTGTCTCCAGAAAATAATAATTAATATAAATTGAAGTAATATTAAAAATGTAACCGTATTTTGAGAACGTAATTTTATTTTATTTTTGAGTTATGCGATTTTTTTTTTCAAAATTACAATATATGTAAAAAAAAATTTTTGAAGGAAAAAATTTAACTTAATATAAAGTAGATAGTTGTAATTTTTATGAAAAAAATAGTTTTATAGCCGGTTGCCTTTTAAAAACATTTCGAAACATTTTATTTTTGATAAAACATCACATTTTTATAGTACTTTATCATTCAGCAAATTAGTTTCTTAAAAAAATAGATAGTTTAAGGAAAAAACGTTTGGTTACATACTTTTTATTCACCTGCCTTTGAAACATAGGAAAAACATATTAAAGAACAAACAAAAATTTTAATTTATTTAAAAAGTACAGAAATATATCTTTTTACTTTAATAATCTAAAATTATTTTTGTTTTACTTTTTAAATTTATATTTATTTAAATATATTTATTACCTATAAAGTTTTGAGCAGTTGGATGGTCTGATTATGGAACACCTGATCGAATAAAGAACATTTTATAGCAAAAGACACGGTATTTTACAATTTTGAATTTCTGTAGGAGTGCATAAATTTGAGATGAGACGACTTTTTGTCACAGAACAAATCATATCAACACAATCATGTAGTCACCAAGGCGAAGAATCTATTCAGTTTGAAAAAGAGCGTCATAGGCTTTTTTATGTATCGAAATGTCGCAACATTTTCTGTTTCTCTTAAATATTTCATCGCTATTGTTTCACATTTTTCTTGGCACATGTGCCAAAAATTTAAGTCTGACATAACTTGTAAATAAATAAGAGTATAAATTTGTTACTAGTCTGAATGTCTAGTGGTTGAAGTAAATTCTGTTAAATGTGTTTTTGATCATATTCATGGTGTTCTAGTTACCCGTAAAGTAATAAAGCTGAAAGCTTACGGTATTATGTAAACAGTTAATTATTATAAGATTAGTTTGTTTACGATCCTGATTGAATTAAACTTAGTTTCACTCTTGTGTTTAATAAATTAGCAATTTTGATAGGCGTCTAGCAGCGAAGTTTAATTGCAAAGGAGCCTTTACTGAGCGGATAAAACAACAGTTTCACATTGTTTTCACATTTTTTTATAGAATTAACTTGGGTTGTATTTTATTCACTACGTAATCGAGGGACGTACTAATGATAAATAGAAAAACAGGAAAATAAAAACAAAWYTCGTGAGGAAACATTTTATTCTTGTCGAGTCTATMAAATACAATTTAATTTACTTGAATAATTTTTAAACAACTGTGTGTTTGCTGTTGAACCCTTAGAATTAGATTTGAGGGACCCTTCCGGTCGAACGAGACAAGTGCTTGTCGAGGTCAAACAATTCACATATGGTGCAGGCTTGAATTGACAGTTGGAGGGTGGTCAAAGATATCGCGTTTGACAGCACACGACATGCATATTTAATGTGCACTTTCTGTCTGGTCTTCAATATTTTAAAGCAGGTTTATTTTCGATGCAAGTGGTTTATGCACCTAAACATTTATTACTGTTGAAGTCTAGAAAGTATTCAATAAATCGAAGAAAAATATTTCTGTTCTAACAATCTGTATTTCATTAGTAGAAGTTTACGTCCTTAGCTTACAACTTTCTATAATCTTATTTCTGGAATCAGGCAGCGCTATTGGTAAATGTAGACCTATATTACCGGGGCTCGAGCTTTGATAAATACATTTTGAGTCTCTGTAAAAAAGTTAAAAATTTTCTTCTTCAAAAAAAATTAAAATAAAAATTTATTTCTTCTAATTACACTAGCCAACAAGCATTTTGTGACTGAGAAGAAAACAGTTATTTTTTGTTTAATTCTATGTGCTAAACTCAAAAATGATAAAGAAAAT